ACGTCGACATGGCTGATAACGATGAGTCCTGGCTCGACGAGTCAGGGCAGCTGCCCGTGCATGCGGAAGACTCCTTCTCTGACATTGAGGTCGGCTCATGCTTCGGGGACATCAACAGCCCTGAGCGTGATCGTCATCTGCAGACTGCCGAGTGGGCCCGGGACTCTGCCCTCCACATCAAGCAGGAGCCTGAGGATTGCTACCCTTCGCCTGCCGCCACTGAGGAGGCCATCGCCACGCCCGACTCTTCGTACACGGTCGATTCGCGCGAGTCCACTGTGTCGTCTCAGTCTGTGTCGTCCGAGCTCTCGGAGCTCTCCGACGTGCCTTATGAGCTTGACGGTGACGACGACTCGTTCTGGCTTCTCGGTCCCGAGAGTGTCAAGATGGAGGAGCTCGACGACTGGCTCCCGAGCTGTAAGGCTGACCGCACCGTGCACCGTGGCCGGGCACGTGCCTCTCGCTACGACTCGTCGAGGTGCAGCGGCAGCTGGGGTGGCATCGGTGTCAACAACCCGTTCGTGCCTTTGGCTATCCCCGCTGTGACTTCTAAGAGCGGTGCTGCTCCCCCGATGGTTCGCAAGCGCAGCCTTCGCTCTCACTCGCGTCGCACTCGTTCTACTCCCCGCAAGGCCGAGAGCCGACTGACGCCCGCCCCGACCCCGGAGGTCGTCGTCATCGAGCCCTCTACTCCCGCCAAGGAGGAAGAGAAGGTGGAGGCGATCGAGGTTGAACCTGAGATCGAGGATGACGCAATCGGCACCGACGAGCTTGAGCGAGCACGTGAGGAGGCCGAGGCATGCGAGAAGCAAAAGCGCGAGGAGGCCGAAAAGTCCCGCGAGGCACTCAACGCTTGCCGCCGTGCTTTCGCCGCTGCCGACGCCGCCGCTGGTTCAGGCAGCGTTTCACCCGACGATGTCAGCACACCGGCTGTCTCGACGTGGCCTGATGCGCAGCCGTCGCCTTGGAACGAGGTAGGCACCATGCTCGGGTCCAGCGACGATCTCGGTGGTCTCGCTCGCTCGGGCACGCTGTCGCCGCTGGCCCTTCAGCACACGCCTGCCATGATGGTCGACTCGTTCATGGGTGTGTCGCTCGACCCCAAGGCGCTCCACCTGCAGTCTTCGCCGACAAATGCTGAGCTCATGATGCTCGACAATGCGTTGTCGCAGGCGGAGATTGAGGCTGCGTCAGAGTGCTTGCCTAAGCCGGCTCCGGTTGCGACCTCGCCGACGGCTACCAAATCTGCACCGACCCCTGTCTCGGCTCCGACGCCGGCGGCCCCCACCCCGGCTCCTGCTCCTGCTGCCACGGCTCCAGCGCCGGCCGCTCCCGCCCCTGCTCAAGCGACGACCGCGCCCACTGGACGCTCGCCGCCGAGGAAGATTGCGCCGATCGCCCCTGCACCTGCCTCTCACCCCGTGCCGATCGCGCCCAAGACGAAGGAGCCCATCAAGCTGGCGGCCAAGCCTGCCTCGGCCGAGAAGGCGACCTCTGCTCCTCAGCCTCTCAAGGCGCCGGCGCCCGTCGCCCAGAAGCCTGTCAGCGCGGCTTCCGCTCCGGCTGCTGCTCCTTCGGTCAAGTCGGCTACGCCCTCCACTGCGTCTTCGACTGTTCCGACGCGAACTGTGTCGCCTGTGAACCGCACGGCCACTGTCTCTCCCGCCGTCAGCACGTCGTCTGCGTCCAGCGGTGCGTCTGCCAGCACCAACTCGTCCGGCAACACCTCGACCTCGTCCGGTGGCACGACAAAGCGCCTCTTGCCTGGCATCGACGCCTGCGTCGTCGACAACCTTCCGTGCTATTCGCACATCTGGGAGGCGCCGAAGGGTGGCAAGTGCACTGTCCTGCGTCGTCTCGACACCGACTTTGTCAACGGCACTGCGCTGCTCACTGCCCTTGGCGTCCCGCCGGCCCAACAGACCGAGCACCTCAACGCCCCGTCGCCCACCCTCGCGTCGCACCGCGCTGTGCCCCTCATCTCGCCGCAAGGTCTGCACCACGCCCCCGGTGTACCAGGTGTCTGGATTCCGCTCATCGAGGCGCGTGCGCTCGCGAAGAAGTGTGGTCTGCAGGAGCCGAGCCTCCTCGCGAACATCCTTCGAGAGGCCCTGTTCCAGCTGTTCAAGAAGCTGGCCGGCATCTCTCTTCGCCACACGTCGTCGACCGAGAGCTTTGGCATGCCATTCGTCACGCAGCCAAACCCTCGTCACCAGGGCGCCCGCACGCAGGCGCAGCTGCAGGCTCAGCGACAAGCCGCCGCCGCCCAGGCTGCCAAGGGCCCGCTCGTCCGTGGACCTGGCGCGCCTCCCGATGGGTGCCCCGAGCCGAAGCGTCGCCGTTCAGTGGCTGGGGGCACGACACCTGTCGCCATC